TTTGTGTACTCTTATGAAATAAAAGAAATAGTAACGTTTAAGTGAGGCTAAATAATGCATCAGAAAACGTCTGTCTTTACATAAAACTCTAGGCGAGGCGCTTGTTCAACAGACTCGTCCATCTCTGATATATATATCTATGTTATGGTCAAAGTTAGAATGCGGTCTAATTCGGAATTCGTCTAGTTGAAAGTGGAGTTCTAATTTCGTCTAGACCTAATTGAAATTCTGAATTCGACTGAAATGATTATGGGCGAAAGAATTGTAATTTCGACTAGAGGAAATTGAAATCATTTTTTAATGAATAGAAAATGGTAAAGAAAGACAAACAGTTTAATTATCCAATTTTTTATTTTATTTTACGAAACATTTTAACAAATATTATAGTGGTTCTAAACTTTAGTCCATATTTGAACATGGATCCTTCTTTGAGTGACATTTGGTGGAGCAGAACACATTTTCTTTTTTACATGTGCACGTTTTGGATGCACATTTACCACAACAATTACAAGCGTGTCTAGTTGTGGAACTACGAGAATGAAGTTTTGATGCTTCAATAAGAGTGATTGGTTTTAAATTATTAGCATCTATTTTTTTCAATTCATCAGGACAAGCATCTTTTAAATTCACAAATTCTGCAACTTCAAATGTGTTCTGGAAAGCACCATACTGACATATTAATTTGTATAAGAAAATATTATTCAATGCAGTTTTTTCAATAATAAGACATGGTAAATATTTTGGATCGATGTTTGCCCAGGTAGATCGTTCCGGCCACCGGATACTGCAGGAACCGGCAAGAAAGATGCGGGAAAATCACTGGAACATGAAAGCAGTCTTCCGGTCGGAAATTTTCCGGATTTTTCCCAATGATTTCCGGCTGGAATACTGCTTCCATGTTCCGTTTATTTCCGGTGCTTTTCTATGGGAACCAGCCCGTACGTTTCGACCTGGGTGTTCGATTAACTGAATGTATTTCTATTCCAACATAATCATTTAAATTAAAATTATTTGCGATAATATTTGAACTATCTTAATTTAATTTAATTTTCCTACTAGCACTTGACAGGTAATGATGAGTAGCAATTCTTCGAATTGTATCATGCCTGGTTGGTGTTGTTGCTATCGCTGATGATGATTTTGATGCCGATCGTGTATTAATTAATTGTGATGATGAATTAATTAATGCATAAGAGTCAACATCATCAGATAATTGTTTAAGAAGATCAACTACTTCGGTATCAATACGTTCATCGAAATTAATTGGATTATCAAATGTACCATCAATTGAATTGTCATTTGATTCGTCCACTGAAGCGGGAAGATTTTCTTTATCTTCGATGCCAGCTAGCTGAACCAGCTTCCAGAAATCTGAATCTGATTGTAGTCTTTATTCGAGCATGATTTCATATGAACTTGTTTTGGTAATTGTGGACCGTCTTGTGTTTATATCATATACAATAGGTAATAAAGCACTAGACCAACTGAATGAATTATTGGTACACATTCATTTGTCGAGAGCATCGCACAAAACTTCATCTACCCTTTCGATGCACCCTCGGCTTTGTGGATGCCTCGGTCTTCCTCGAATAAAAAATTAAATCTGGAAATACAGTCTTTAATTCCATGATAACACTCAAAACAAATTCTCGTCCAATATCACTGTGAATTAAACGAGGTGGACCAAAAACAAAAACGATTCGCATAATTTTGTAACCACTTCAACAGCTAATTTA